GTTTTGGTGAAATGGACATTTCCCCTTTTGTATCACAGGTGAAACTCGAAAGCCGTCCGTTCAATATTTTTCCCTAATGAGCCTTCCCAGTCTTCTTGCCTTTTTAGGATGGAAACAAGCTCTTTGCTCTCATCCTCTTCATATTCATCAGCTCTGTTTACTGGCAAAGCGGAAGAGCGAACGGGCATCGGATACATAAATATCATACAATCCACAGAGGGCTGGCAAGCCTGAGTTCTTAATCCTGCCTCCATCACTAACAATTTGCAACCTGAAGAAGTCACTCTCTCTGTGTTTTCTCTGTCTCAAAAGTAAATAAAGGATAACACACTTTAAAAATCAATTGGTGTTCTGAGAAAAAAGAATGGGGGTGTGTGTAGGGGGTGAAGACAAGTTTAAGTTGGGCTGAAAATATATTTCCTCAATTTTTGCTCACACTGGAGATGGCCAAGACCTTGTCCCACTCCACCCTACCAGCTGGGTCGGGGGAGAGGGCAGCTCTCTGTGTCCCCAGACACCTCCTCTCTCACCCCGTCCTTCCATTCCTTTAGGCAGATCTTGCTAGAGCAGGAATCCAGGTGAGTCACTTTTATTAAAACGGCTTTAATGGCTTTCATTCCCTTCTGGAAAATGCCCAACTCCTCTGCTCTGGGTAGGAAGAGCTCTGTGTTCTTGCTTTGTCCTTGTTTTCAACCTCTTACCTGCTGGGCACCCCTGCAACCCTCTGCACTGGGTAAAGTCCAAGGGGGCCCCAGCTTCATGCCTCAGGGCCTTTGCACACGCTTTGGTTCCTTTCATCTGGAATTCTCTTCCCTGGGTAGCATCGGTTCTTTCCCTACAAGGTCCCTGGAAACCCTCCTTGCCCAGCAGACTTGGAGCTCATCCAGGGAACTGCCTCCAGCACCGTTGATCCCCACTGTGTGGCAGGATCTGCACAGAGATGAAGGCTGGGATGGAAGGCACAAGTGAAAAACCACATCTCCAGGATGGGTAGAAATCCTCCCATAGCTGTGGCTTAGCAGAATTTCCAGTTCCTATCCTGGGATAACTGAACCTGTGCTTACTGTCACTCCAGTTTGGTCCAGGAAGTTTTTAGTTTTCAACATTCCATTTTTAAAAACACAACATTTTAGCAATGTATTTTATTTATAGATGCTGCAGCAGGCTGCCTCCTGCCTCCAAGTTTCCTCGCAAAAGGCGGTCTAACCAGTGCACCTTCCCCAGCCATGGAAAACTACAGGGCTACTGTCAAGGCCAACAGAGTGTTGTGGAGAAACACTAGGCGCAGGGAGACCCACCCGAGGGGCTGCCTCCCACACCATCCACATCCCAGTGGGGGGATCTTCTGTGGTGGCAGAGCCCTAACGAAGGACTCAGCATTGTTTTTGGACTGGGGTACTGTTTACTGAACACCCTCCTAAACACAGCTGGTCCCGCTATGTCCCCCTCCTCATCCGGGCTTCCCTGCCCTCTCGGTAGGTGAACCGAGTGCTGTCAAGAGGCTGCCAAAGACACTTCAGAATGTCTTCTTCACAGAGCCTTGGAGGAGGACAGAGACAGGCCAGGCCCTGGCACCAGACCACTGTGGAGGACAATGAAAAGCATTTGGAAGAGCCTGGTGGGGGCACTTTGGGGGGTCTATTGGAGTTTAGAAATTAAGTATTGTCTTACCTTTTTCCCACATGGATCGAAGGTGGTCCTCCAGCAGGGACTGAGTCCTATCCCCCTGTGTCCCCAGTGTCCACACACATCTCGTGCTTATCTCACTGAGGCCCAGTGCAGGAAAGAGGTCAAGCTCCACTTCTGGGGGGGCACTGATGAAGCAAATGAGCCTAGAAGGTGCCAGGTGCCCTGATCTCTTCCAATTCTCGCTGACCTGTCACCTTCCCAGTGAGGTCTTCCTGCCTCTGCTTATCTGGCACACCAGACTACGGCTTTCTTGCAGGGTGAATATTGTACCCTAACCCCTGCACGCCCTCTGCCTGGCTGTACCACGCAGCCCACATCACTTACCTGTTCAGCCAACACCTCTCTCATTCCTCTATGACGCAATTCCTGAGGGTGGGGATTTTTGTGTTATTCACTGACAAATTCCCAGTACCTGGGGCAGGGGTTGATATGTACGAGGTGCTCAGCAAATGCTTGATTTAAGCATTCACTCAGCAAATATTCACTCCACATTAAAATCCACAGACACAGCACGCATTTCAGAAGTGTTAGCTCATTCAGAGTGGGGTCTCAACAAGTCGGGTAATTAGGACTCACTTGGTGGGCTCCCACACAGTGCAGGGGACCATGAGAATATAAAAGCAACTATGTCTGTCCCCCACTGGCTTGCTGTTGCCTTTGGAATAAAATTCAGATTCCCCCCACCGTGGCACCTGCCTGCCTCCCTTTGCTTATCTGGCACACACCGGACTATGGCTTCACTGGCCTTAGGTTTCTTGACATCTAGGCTTTTTGTGCCTCAGGCCCTTTGCACTTGGCATCTTTGCTGTCTGGATGGCTTGTCCTCCAGACCTCAGCTCAAATGTCACTTCCTCCCAGGGTCCTCCCAGACTTACATTGCCCACCCAGCCCAGCTACCCAGCCCAGCTCTCCCTATCACAGCTCCATTTTGTTGTCTGCATTGCCTGAAATTATCTAGAACATTGATTTACTTGGGGAATCTGAACTCAGTTAAGATTAACCTAAACCATGTTACTTGTTCTAATTGTTTCATTCTGCCCCCTCCTTCGGGCCTTCCTAGCAGGCTGCTCCCAACACCGTTTCAGGCCCCTTCATTACTAAAACACAGACCAGGTTGGTTTAAAACTCCTACTCTTTATTCAAATCGCTTTTCCCCAAGAGTGGGGAGGGGAGCAAGATCTTTTTCTCTTTTTCATTAGAGAGGGGACCTGGTACAGAGGGGCCAGGGATGGGCCTCCTCGAGGACTGCTCCAATCTGCCGCCATCCCTGCAGAGAAGGGGTGTTGCTTGTTCAGGGCTGAGCCTCCTCAGGAGATGGCAGTCACATCCTGCTTTAGGCCTGCCCTCTTCCAGGTGGGAAGCTCTCTCTGCACAGCACCCATTCAGCTGGCCGAAGGACTCCTCCCACATGCGGCCTCACAGGAGTCCTCTTTTTTTTGGCCTGCTACCTTGCCACACACACCCCCTGCTCTCCATGCTGCTGGCGTAGGCTTCTCCCCAAGCCTGTCCCCATTGGGCTCCCCCTCCTCCAGGGAGCCAAGCGCAGCTCCAGGGATGTGTGCTAAGCTCCCCAAGGACACCTCACCACCCTGTGCCTGCAGTTGGCACCAGTCTCCTGCAGCTCAGCGAGCATCCGGCTGGGGGTTGTGGCGCCAGCCTCCTCTCCTTGGCAGCACCTTCGGTCCCAGGCTTCTCTCAGGGCCTCCTTTGCTTGGCTCAGGGGTTAGGGGAAGGTGGGGCAGGGAGGGCACCCTCTTACCAACACTGTCCACCCCCAGTCCTTTCTCTCCAGACCACTCTATCTTGTACAGAGGGAAAAGTGGGGAGCCAAGGGGTTGGAGGTAGTTCACAGCAGCAGGGCCGATTCTGCCACCTCTTCTAGGCCATGGGGAAGGGGCCTGGCCTTAACTCCTCATATCTTTAGCAAATGCTTTACTTAGTGTCTCCGTGCCCACAGCTGTGGGACCTTCTAACCACCTCTGGGGCTACTGGAAATGGATCCTTCTGTGTCCTCCCCTTAGTTATGGTGGGCCTTCCCTTCTGGAACATGTGACATGAGGACAGCGGCTTGGCATTGCTAGTGCCTAGCAAAATGCTTGGCATAGCACAGGCTGTATTTTCTGAAGGAGTGACACAGTAGGAGACTGTTGTGGCCATGTGGCTTTATGTGGACTGACAGGAAGAGCAAGGGGATGTGAGGGCCTGACCATGGTGGGTGCCATGCCATGTACCTGGATGCCCCCCCATACCCATCATTTCACTTCTCACAATGACCTTGAGAGGCAGGCTAGCCTCCACCCGCTGCGGCCAAGCTCAGGCAGCGAAGCATCCACGGTCCTGGCTCTGCCACCTCTTGGCTAAGTCTCTTCATTCTCTGATTCCAGCCCCTCATTTGTAAAAGTGGGATGACAATGGACTCTACATTGTAAGGACTAAATTAATATATGTAATGTACTTAGCTCATGTAGAGACATGGCAGGTCACAAACAGGAACCAGAATAATTTCTCTCATCGTCCTTATCACTGGAACAAACCTAGGTCTGTCTACCCCAAAGCCCGTGATCTCTGTACAACGTCCCTGTACCTCCCAGCCCCCATGGGGAGGGTGATGAAGTCCTCTAGGGCACTGGGGCTGAAAGAAGCTGAGACCCCCGGGGGAGGTGACAGTCAGAGGCAGCCTTGGATGCCAGGCTGCGGCCTGCAGTCTGATGTAAAAGGCAATGAGGAACCTCTGTGGTCTTTAATCAGGGGAGTGAGACGATGAGAGTGGTGTTTTAGGGAGATTAATCTGGCAGCAGAGACAGGATCGAAAATAGTCAAACTCAGTGCAGAGAAGGATGAGTGCTGCCTGGCTCCCCGAGAGGCGGCTCATTAAAGGAGAGAGCTCTTGGCTCCCTGGGTGCTTGGGGTTCCCGGCAGCAGGGAGAGGCTGGTACCAAGGGAGGCCGGCAGAGGGCACTGTTTTGTCGGTGACAGGAGCCACCTCAAGGGAGCCCTGGCCTCTGGACACCCTGGAGCAGAGGCAAGACTGAATGGTTAAAGTGGGAGAGGCCATCAGCCCCAAGTTGGGGCAAGTTCCAAGCTGAACATTTCAACAGCAAACTATAAGCTGATCCAAGCCCTTTAAAAACCCAACGTGAGGTTGTGTTGTCCGTGGAAGGCCCTTCCACCAGCCATGCAGGGTGGCAGGAACGCCTACTCCAACTGGCGGCAGGTGTTGCTGGCTGCTCGGAACCAGCAGTGCCACAGCAGCCAAAGTGCAAAATGGGACCAGGGCTGCCCCAGCCAAGAACGGAAGGGGCTGCTGCTTCCACATTTTTTCCTAATTTTATTTAAAGCTGTCATAATATATTGGAAGTACAGAGGCAATTCCATGTTCTTTCCTCTTCCAAGGAGACAGAGCCCACTGCCAGGTCCACAGTGGCACTCACTGCCCCATTGTGCTGAACAATCCACCACCACCATCACACCAACGCCTGGAAAACTTCCACCTTCTCCCGGTACAGGTGGTGGAACTGCTTGGCCAGACAGTGGAAAGGCGCTTCATAGTTTTCCATCTCCTTCTGTAGAGACAGTTTAGAAAGGTGGCTGTTATTTTTGCAGTCATCAAAGACAGCCAGCACTCACTCAGCACTTACTTTACTCAGCCACTACCCACTTTCTGCCTCATTTCCTTGTCACACCATTCGGGGTAGCTACTATCATTATGCCAATTTTACAAGAAAGAAACCGAGACACGGACAGATTAAGGTAATTCACAGGAAGCTACATGCCTTGTAAACGGTGAGCTGGGGCCTGAACTACGTCTGTTTCTATAGAGCCTGTACTTCTAGCCACTCACTACAGGTGTGACAGGATGTTAACATGGGACCTTTCTTCACTTAATTTTGATGGAGGCTCCAAACACCAAAATAAAATAACAGACGGCAAGCAGCCCCCTGCTCCCTAGGAAAAGCCAGACAGGATGCGTCTGCCTGTACCTCCAGGACAGGGTTGAAGCAGCCAGAGGAGAGAAAGTGGTGAGACCCGGGCCTGGAAAGAATCAAGGTGAGGGCTGGGTCTGGCCAAGTCAGGCGAGGGCTGCCAAGTGGACAGGGTGAATGTGGACAGGCCACAGAGGAAAGAAAACAGCACGCTTTCAACAGCTACTGTTCTCTCCCCCTCTGTGTGTGTGCATTTTTAATTCTTTTTCTCTTTATTTTTTTATTTTTGAAATAAGCTGGCAGAAGAAAGAACCCACTGCTTAAGACAACAGCTCCAGCTACAAATGCACAAGAACCTGTTCTGAAATGATTCCTGGCAGCTGGCAGAAGTGCAGCTTTGATAAGAGGCAGGGAAATATCCAAATGGAACGGAAGAATTTCCAAAGTGAAGAATGTTCCAGAAGTCATCAAGCTCAGTGCCTCTGTTTCACAGATGAGTGGTCTGGGGCCCAGGGGGTGAAGTGGCCCAGCTGGTTGGTGCAGAGCCCAGCCTAGCATCCAGATTCCCCGATCTGAGAAGAGCTGCCTGTCTCCTAGGCCAGCCGGGATGAGAAATGTGCAGAACACCAGGTGTCATGGACCATGTCACCTGCCCTTTCTAGCAAGGGGAATCCTAAGCAAAGGAAACAGCTGGACAAGAGCAAGAGGTGGCAACACTCGGAGTGTGCTGAGGATGGAGCGGACAGTTTAAAGCTCAGATGAACATCTGTACCAAGCTCACAACTGCCAAGGACCTGGAATCTGTCACCTTCTAGTCAGACGTAAGAAAGAATTCAGTTCTATCTGCCAGGCACCGCTGGTTGTGCACAGCATAAGGTCCTAGGCGACACCAACATCAAAGAATAAAACACTGCCTCTGTCAAAAGTAGAGGTAATATCCAGCGGAAAGAGAACGAGGCCTACACACGCACAAGGACTTCTAAATGGACTTGAAAGCTCTCCAAAGTGCAATCTTGGGAGAACCCAACATAAAAAGTAAGGACTCCAATGCAGGCGAGCCGCGGCAGGCACCATGGAGTGCTGCTGAAACAGACGAAAGTGAACCATTTCCACAGGTATTAAGAGGCTTGCCAGTGACAGGAGCCCTTCTGTCAAGTGACTAATCACATACTCGCTCATGTAGTTTGAACACCTGTGGAGTCAGTCTGTTTAGAGTGAAGGATCCTTAGAGCTGGCTCAGACCAATCTGGCCCAGAATTCTGTCTTGGAGAGTCCCCAAGTAGGCTCTGTGGGGGGACCTCTTCTAGAAGGCCCATGAGGCCCATGTTTTTAAGCTGGACAGGGCTGAGTCCTAGCTCTGGTTCCAGCTCTCATTTGCTGGGTACCCTAGGAAAGCTGCATGACCTTTCTGAGGCTGTCTGCCATCTACACAGCAGGGACAGGAGGGCTGCCTGGTGGGGCTGTCATGAAGCCTAAACAGCTGATCTCAGCAAAGCACCAACACACAGTAGGCCGTCAGCCATCCCTCTGGAACATGCTCGTAACACTCGTTTGTATTTGATACTGTCCAACCCCTTACAGTGATGAACAATGTTTTAAAGGCTTTTTAATTTTTTGGCCTGAAAATCTCAAACACTGAGAGGTGTTAGAAAGGTGGTCAGCAGGATGACCGCCACTGCACTTAGGAAAAAGAGAGGAGGAGACGGCCTTGGCTCCAGGACTTGGCTGCATCTCAGACTGCATTGGGTTATATTTCCTTTTTAATTACAGCTTTCTTAACTGAGCTGCCAGTGGTGCTTCTGTGAGCGTCAACTCAGGGGGGACTAGTTAACTCGCACAGTTAATACCAAGTGCTTAACTGCAGCCTCCTCAAGCATAATTTACACCCACCCGTTTCAACACCTGAATAGAGTTTAAACCTGTAGCCCAGTGGCCTTTGGTGACTAATGTGCTGGGAGTGGGTTTTAATTTTTAAATCCCATCAAGGGTTCTGGGGAATATGAGATATTGGGGTAAGGGGACAGTTTCACAAATATGAATGGAGGCAGAGGGATACTGAAATATTGTTTCTGTGGGTACCACGGCCTACTGCTTTGCTCAAAGGTGTGCTGCAGAGAAGATGGGGCAGGGGCCCTCTAGGTGGTAAAAGCTCACTAATTTGAACTTCATTAGTTTAGCATTTGTGATACTCGACCAGAGGCCAGGGTAACATTTTTCTGTGTGTAAGTTATGAATAAAAGGATTTAGTAACTAATAACTAATAATGGTATAAACAAGATTATTAGGGGAACATTTTTATAATGAGCATTTACTATGCACCGGACTTTGTGCTAAGTGGTGTATATTTGCCATCTTACTTCTCATATTTATTACTCAACAAGGGATGTATTTTGTTATCCCTGGTTCACAGGTGAGGAGCCAAGGCACCAATAGATTAAACAGTACTTCGGCTCCCACGCCAGCTCGGTGGCAGTTCTCCCCCCAAGGATAGAGTACCTACCTGCCTTTACCCGTTACACTCTTCTTAAGCAAACATGCTGCTTTAGGGGGTTTTAAAAGTTCCCATCCATACAGCAATCGAACAGCAGCATTGGTCAAAATTCCTAGATATAACCATGGAACTGCCTGCAGCTGAAGTCAAGTTTGTGTAGATGGTAACTCCAAGAGCTTAACTAGCCCATTGACTTTCTTGGAGGGCCAAAGAATCAGGACAAAGCAAGGTTCAAGTTATAACCATGCCTGTGGCAGGCCCAGTGGGCCTCCCTGGCACCTAGCTCCTGCGGAGTCCAAGATGGATGTTTCAGGGACCCCTGCTCTTGCAGGGCGCCTCTTCACTTTGTGCCCATCCTGGTGAAGTCTCACATTGGTGTCTGACTGGGGCGGCCTGGGTCATGTGTTTTTACCTTGGCTGCAGGGAGGCTGGGACTTCCAGAAGTCCCAAACATGGGAAGCAGATTCCACAGTGTTAGATGGCCAAAATCACAACACACGTGTATGTATACTAAAGATGCCAGTAACAAATCACTCTTACTTTTCCCACTTAATGAGGTCTCCTGCTGATTTTTCTTTTTTTCTGTTTTTGAGACAGAGTCTCACTCTGCCACCCTGGGTAGAGTGCTGTGGCATCATCAAACTCTTGGGCTCAAGTGATCTTCTTGCCTCAGCCTCCTGAATAGCTGGGATTATAGGCGTCTGCCATAATGACCAGCAAGTTTTCTATTTATAGTAGAGACAGGGGTCTCACTCTTTCTCAGGCTGGTCTTAAACTCCTGAGCTCAGGCAATCCACCTGCCTTGGCCTTCCAGAGTGCTAGGATTGCAGGTGTGAGCCACTATGCTGGCCTGGGGCGGGATCAAGGACAGGGAGTACTGATGGGAATCAGAAGCCACAAATCCGAGTCCTGGCTTAGCCCTTCACTAGTCCTGCAACCTCGGGCAACTCATTTCACATTGGTAATACTGAAATGGGAACTATGGGGCCAACTCCTGGTGTACAGGACTGATGTGAGGGTTGAAGGAATAATGTTCCAACAACACCACAAGCCAAAATCTCAGGCAGACCTCAAGGATCACAATAATTGAACACGAGGCACTTGTATTTCTTACTAATCGAGATGCAACTTTTCCCAGGGCCGACTGGCTGATTCCCCCTTACTGTAATGCATGAGTGACTACTGTTAGACTGAGAACAGATCTTAGGCTAAGAACATAAACATCAGTTCCAAATGAGACCCCACATATGGTGGAATAACAACTTGATGCACCTGAGGTCATGTGAAAACTGCTTCCAGCAGAGGCCCACTCCAGACTTGGCCGCTGAACATGCCCAGATACTCACCACAGAAGTTTCAAAATATTCCAGGCCTTGGCCCAGCGCCCACGCCTGGGCCTGAGCGGAGTCCACGGCTCGCCTGCCGGCCAGGTCTGCCTTATTCCCCACTAAAACACCTACGCAAAAGAAACAACCAAAACATGGCATTTAATCAGTGGTCTGGGGGTCTAAAAGCAAGGACATTATTTTTGAGAGCCATAAAACTCCCCTGAGAGAGGCTGCCTGACCCCAAGGAGGTGACCCACAAGGGGAAAGCAAGGGGTCTCAGGTGCTGGCCCCTGAGGGCCATAGAGAGACCGGGGGGCTGTGCTTTCACACACAGCTTTTGGTCAGCCTTTTTTCTAGAGCTCATGTGTATCTTCCTCCTTGAGGGCGCAAGGCTGTGAAAGCTAGGGCCAAATTTATGTGAGCATTTGTGATAATTCCTAGGACGTGGAGCAAACTTTAAAATGGTCATTAATACTAATCTGAGGACTCGGCTCAGAGTCAGGGATTCAGAGGTAATTGAGTTCGGCTCCCAGCTGCATCAGCTGCAGCTAATTTCTGAGCCCGTCTCTGGAGATCACTTTCCCGAGCCTATAATGAGGAGAATTTGTTGATCTCACATAGGGATGAAAAATAAACTGATTTAAAGCATTCAGAAGTGACAACAGGACTTGAATGTTTACTTGTACCCCACATACGGGAGAAAATGAGGAACTCTTCCCCGAGGTTAGCTTTCTGGAAATAACTTGAATTAGAGCCCAAGTCTCCCCACAATTCTGCAAGGCATATGTCATCATTCCCATTTGACGGACTCAGATTTAGGTGGTGGCTAAGAGGCAGAGCCAGGGGACACTCGAGGCCAGTAAATGCAGAGCCCCAGGGCCCTTTCTTGCACACAAAGCTACCTTCCCCATGCCCTTGCCCTCTTGAGCTGAAGGACAGCTGCTGGAAAGATCCGCAGCTCCTACCTGGGAGGGAGGTGCCCGGAATCTGAGACCGAGCCTTCTCCAGCCACTTGCTGCAGCTGTTGAAGGACTGCTCGCTGGTCACATCATAGACAAGACATAAGACGTTAGGACTCTCCCACTGTGCGAGGGGGACGGAATGAGCATGTGTCAGTAACAGGGAAAGTAACTTCAAGGTTGGGCAGAAATTTGGCCTTCCAAGGGAAGGGAAATGAGGGTGGAGAGAAATGAACACTATAAAGGAGATGTGAGGCAGAAAACAGCTACACCCACAGAAATCAACCAGCTCCCCCTAAGGCACGATGAGGAGGGCCGTGCTCAGTGGCAGGGCGAGGTGGGGCTCTCTGCCTGGTGCTTCTGGGCATCATTGTGAAGCCTCCCAATGGCAGGATCAGTCTGAATATTCCCACTTTGCAGCTGAAGAAACTGAGGTTGGGGAGGGTTAGTGACTCCCCCAGGTCAGAGATGGTTTTAAAACAACAATGGTGGAGACGGAGGAGGAATATGGCGTTTCTCTATCCAGAAACCTGCTTTTGCCAACCACTAGTTTCATTAATTCCTCCTTCCACTCATTCTCACCGAGGGCCCACTATCATGTGAGTTGTTATGCTTTGTGCTCTGCAGCCCTGAAAGAGTATGCTTTCTTTCATTAGCAGTCCCTGGAAGCTTGTTTGCTTGCATCTTCTTAATAAGGGCTGGCTTTTTAAAATGCAAAGGGCAGTTTCTGCTTCTCCTGCAGTGTCTGCATCGGCCCTAATCCAAACCATACCGACAACTGCATAGGGCCCAATGTCCTAATTAAGGGCCAGGGCTACACTCTCAGGGGCTGTTGCCTTTAGGGGCAGCTCAGAGTCCAAGGACGTCCTGCTTCTGCCACTGGGACGAAGGATGGCCCTGCACAGGCCGTGGATGCTCGCCTTGGTGCATGTGACTCTTGGTCATGCCCTGATTTCTGGGCACTCCCATGCTGTACAACTAGAGCCTGGCTTATTTCCGGGGTGTCAGTAACCTCCCAGGGTTAAGGGGGAGAATCCCTTTCCCTCCATATGGATTCCTTTTCTTTTCCAATCCTTGGAAGGCTGGCCCAAGATGGGTTCTGGAGGGCTCCCCATTCCACAAGGCTACTCTGGTTCCAGGTGGTATCTAGGCTGGGAGAAGCTTGGACGAAACTGATGATCCCTTCACTTCATAGACTGACTTTTTAGTCCAAGGACACAGAGCTCCCGCGTACATGCAGGAGATGCCTCATCATGGTTTTAAGTCACCAAGCCCTCTTCCTTCCAGGATTCAATAAGGGGCCCAGATAGGCCTGGGATCAAGCTGAAGTGGGAAGGGGAGAACCCAGAGTTAGGGCTGGCTTTATGTGTGAGAGTGTGTGTGTATGTGTGTGTGTGTGTGTGTGTGAGAGAGAGAGAGAGAGAGAGAGAGAGAGAATGAATGAGCTGAATCGTGGCCTATAGTCCAGACTTGCCCAAGCACATCATCCTTTCTGCTGGGCAAGACAGCCCTAATGCTAGGCCGTGCACACAGTAGGCACTTGGTAAACATCATGAACCATGCATGAAGCCAGCCCTGTGTACAGCCATTTCATTAGATCTACTTCTGTGAGACAACAAAAAGGGCAGAAAACAGTTTCCATTAAAATGTGGCTGTTCTTGGAAAGGTAGGGAGGGCTCTGGAGAACTCCAACCCTCTAATTAGCTCACTGGCCCAGATTAGCGAGACTGTTACCTTGGAAGGTACAGCAAGCTGGATCCTGGCCGGACAGGGCTGGACAGGGGCATGAGGCCCCCTGGCAGCTGCAGGGGCCTGTCTCAGAGCAAGCCCCAGTGGAACCCCCCATGGAAGCTCTAGGACCACCCTATCCAAGGGGGAAACTTCATTACTGGGCCCCTAGGGCATTCCCTAGAGAGGAAGGACATAGTTGGCGCTGTCCCAGGTGGCTGAGAAGGGGGTGCTGAAAGGATACCACCAGGAGGGGGCTGCTGAAAAGAGGGGATCCCTGGAGTGGGAGGGCTGGAGGGCTGAGCCACAGGCTCTGGCACATTGGAACTGACCACTCTAGAGCTGGAGGTGAGGCAGTTGTGCACACTAGCTATTCCTTCTGCCCCCACGTGGCCACAAGTCCCAGGCTGGAGGAAGGCCCCATAAAGACTGCTGCCACGGTAGCGTCTCTCGACGGCCATGGCATAAATTTCTCCGTGAACACTGTAAGGGCAAACAGTGGTGGTTGGGAAACAGACCGCATGCTACTTGCCAATTTGTCCAGCATTTCAGAAAACAGCTCCTTGCCGGCAGAGTCAAAAATGAAGAGTTCCTAGAATCAGAAAAGCAGTCCTGCCTGAGAAAGTCTTCACATGGGAAAACCGCGGGCTGTGAGGCACTGATCACTCTCAACTCACTACAGACTCATCTTAGTGGCAAAATACAAGCGTCTGCGTGTGCACATGTTTTCGTGCACCTTCTGTCTGGGGACAGACATGAGAGAGACATTGCCGAGAGGAGCAAGCTCCACAGTCTTAAATGGTGAACAGTTTCCCACACCAACCAGCACTTCTGCGCAGCGCCTCACCTCTCCTAACCCCGCGTGCAAAAATACCAGGAACAAGCTGACTTCCCACCTGGCAGAACAGAATGCTAAGCAGGCCGACAAGTGCTCTGGTTTCCAAAAGGTCATTCTGCACTTTGCTAACCAAATTGATTTTCAAATCTTAAAACAATTCCTCTTAAAGGAGGTCACTGAGTAGGCCTGGGGAAGGCGATTAAAGTAGGACAGCCAGTCATCGTTCTGGGATGGCTCTGGTGTGATTCTGACAGAGGGCATGGGATCACCCTTCCTGCCCCTGTCTGAACATTCCCCAGCCCTCACGAGAGCCCCCTCTCCCCACTAATGCTGTTGTTCTAGGAAGTCTCCCTCAGTTCCCCCTCAAACTGCCCACTGGCACTGGGTATGCCCTGGCTGGCCTCTGGCCCCTGAAGCACACAGTGTGACTGTTAGTACCACCATCTGCTTTGTATACTGGTTACCTGTGCCTCTGTCTACCCTTTATCAGGGTACTCAGAATTTTTTTTTTCCTCTCATGGACCTATTTAAGAATCTGGTGAAAGCTATGAACCCTCTCTCCTGGTATGCAAAGACAAACATAAATCTTGTCATTCAATGTTGAGAGTCCTAGGTTCCCATAAAGGAGCCCAGGTCAGGAACTTTGATCCTAGATAACCAGTTCTTTGACAACTGGTCTTTCTGCCTTCCTTCTGCTCAGCCCCTCCCTTGAGTGCTTTCCACGTTCCCCTGTTCTGTTTCCAAATGTTCCGACAAGTCTAGGCTACATCCTCACACTACATCTTCTTAGGGAGGATGGTAGTGACCAGGGAGATCCTGGGCCCAGCTGGGGTAGCCCCAAGTCCCTCTGGGGTAAGACATCACTCACCACACTGTCGCCTGTGTCAGAAACTGGCACCGTCTTCACCACCAAATCCACCCCTGTTGTCTGCCAAGGAATACCAAAAACGTGAGAGCCCCAAAGTGGGGGCACATTGTAGGAGGGGACACAATAAGCACCCCAATCCCTGAGGGACATCCCTAGCCAAAGGGTTTGTGTTCTGAATTCATTTTGGTGACAAGTGGCTCAGATTGCAGAAGTCAGAGAGGACCAACTAGTCCCTGGCCCCTTAGTGACCCCAAGTGAACTGCTACTCATGGTGACTAAGTTGTTCATGGCCAGTCTGCTCTGGGGACAGCCCCTTACCCTGGGCTAGTGGAAAAAACAATCTCCAAATGGTCATCTGAGCAGCCTGTCTTCAGGCCTCTTAGTGTTTCTTCAAGGAAATTAGTGACGTCTCTCACTCAGGGTTAACCAATCGCTTTTCTTTAAGCCAGGCCACAACTCCCATAGCTCACCAAGGTGTAGTTCTTCTGGAAATGGGCTCCATCGCTGCGGAAGATCTGTGCCAGGGCCGTCTTGCCCACTGTCGGGTCTCCTGTGAGGTCAGAGGAGAAAAACACCACTGACTTGAGACTCTCCTGCTGTAGAACACTTGTCTAGAAACCAGACACTCCAGTGAATTTTCAGAGGCAATGAACTTGGCTCTCACGAGAACGTGTTCTGAGGCCGCTTGCTGGGCAATAGGTTCAAGAGACTCATCTGCAAAACTCACACAGCCAGAGCACCTTTCTGCACGGCTAAGCCCTTCAGCCAAAGGAACTGACCCAGAAGGTAACGGAGCTTATGGAGGGCTCCGAAGCGCAGGAAACAGAGCTGACACTCTTCCAGTGAAACACATCCTAGGGGGAAAACCTGTCATTTCCAAACTTGAATTTACCTTGAAATTCTGAAGATAAAGAAGTGTGACTGGCGCAGGCGTGGAGGCTCACCTGCAAATGGAACCAGTCTGAGTTTAGAGCTTCTACCTGGTACTTGTAGGGGGGTGTTGGAGTTGTGAGTATTTCTGCATTTAGAGGATGTCAGAAGTCACCATCCTGAAATCCATTTCCAAGTGACATATTCCATCTCCATCTCTGCACGCCCATTTGGGACTTCTGAGGATCCAACTTCCTAGGGGCCTCTCCACTGTTCTATTTGCAGTGGCAACTATGTCCTCCAGGCTCGCCTCACCCCCGCTGGGTCTGTCTGTCAGACTTTCTGTTGTCAGTAGTCCCAGAACCGCCATTCTGGAACTAAAGGTTCATGTTGGTTTTCAGTCTCTGAACCTTCACAAGACTGTCAGGAGCAACTGAATCTGTCAAGCTGCCAGAAGCTCTTTCTGTCCACCCTTAATTCCCCTTCGCCCTTCCCACTTTTCCAACATGACTCTGTTTGGCCCCCTTTCAGGCTCCTTTGACGCCAGATGTTTTTATTTGAGTCGCACATGGGTCCTCACACCTGAAGTCACCCACTCAGGGTTAACCAATTGCTCCTGCAACAATACCCAGCCTCCACCAGGAGCACTCCGTTTTCTGCTTTCTCAGGCCTCCTGATTCTCAGCAAAGTCACTGCAGCACTCCTCGCCCCCCGCCAGCCTCGCTCAGCACACACTCTTCACCTGTTTCCCCATTTTACAGTCAGCTTCAACACCTCTACTCCCCTTCTCCACAGCCTGCGCTCTGTTCACTTTTCAGCTTTGATGCGCCCCGCCTATAATTTTCTCCTATAAGACAAGTAAAGTAAGTATTTGACTACTCGTGGCATTTCACTTTATGTGAACGCCCCCAGGTTTGAGTGAGCCATTCGGGTCTGGCTTTTCTATCTGTTTCCACTTCTTAGAAGGGAGCCAGCACGTGTTGAGTCCTCCTCACCAACCCCTTTGTACCATCTCATTCACTCCTTCCCTGCCAAGCCGCATATCATTGACCTCATCTGACAGATGGAGAGATGGGGCTCGTAACTTGCCTAGGATTTCAACTTGTGCTCTCTCCATCAGGCCCTGCTCCTCTCCTAGAGCTCAGGGGCCACTTCTGACCCATATTTAGTGCTGCCCTACAGGCCCTCATCACTGCAGCCTTCCGTGACATCCGCAGCAATCACGGCCTGGACTGTCAAAGGACTACCCACCCATCTCAGGGTGAAGACCAAGCATCACTTTGCTTCTCTGGGCCTGGATGGCATCCACCCTCCCAACTCCAATTTTGCTCTTGAATCCAGTGGAGAAATTGGCTCTTCTTGCTTGTGAAATTCTCCAGAATTTTCTGGTTAATTTCATAAGTCTTTCTTCTGTCAGTCAGAGTCACCAACACTTACAGCAAACTTCCTGTGCTGGCTAAGAGGGGGGAACCAAGCATAGGGAGGGAAATAACTGATAAACACGGTGCAGAGCAACAGGATGACAAGTGCAAACTCAGACAGCACAGACTGAGAGCCGAAGTGTCTGGGGAGCAGCCAGGAAAGAAATGAACAAGAGGGCCCGTCAGTGTGGGAGGCTTCCCTGGGGCAAGGGCTGAGGCTGGGGGTCACAGCAGGGAGGGCTCTGTGGGACAGAGAGGAGGACGCCTGCAAAGGAACTGTGAGGTCACTGAGACATGACGGGCAAGTCCAGTGATCTTTTCTCATTTTCCATCCTTCTTGATAATTCTGAAGGATGTGAATCAGCCTGAAGCTGCCTCTCCTTCCTGAGCCCTGTCCCTGTGGCCTGGGTGACCCTGCATTGGCCTGGCTCTCCTGCCACTCTGTCTCATTAACTGTCACCACCTTGACTGTCACTTCTCAAGGCAGGATGTCCCTCCCAAGCTCTGTACTCCTGACAACCAATGGATGCTTCTACTAGAATGACATGCTTTCATCCAGTCTCAGAGCATCACAGCCAGGCTCATGGCACATGCCTGGGGCCTCAGTGGTTTGCCCACGTAGCCCGCCATGCATTTTCACCATCCCCAGAGTCAACCTGTCACCTCTGACTGCTCCTTTGCCATCTTCCCATCTCCAATCCAGTCAGTCTCCATTGCACCCCTTATACCCTTTGCTCTGTCCCAAGGTCACCCTCCTTGGCTGACTGCTGACACTGTCCTGGTTAGCTCACACCTGGGTTTTGTCTCAGCCCCAAGCCCTCCCTTCCCTGCTCTGCTGGGTGGAGACTCAGCAAACACATTTCCCTTGTGCCAGGAGCTCGCTGTTAGGGTCTGCTCATGGCAGTTCCAGAGAAAGAGTGGAAGGCTGGAGGGGGCAGAAGGAAATTGCTCCTGCCCTTTGCTTTTCCTTCGTCTTAGTGTTCCCCTAGTTCTGGCCATTCCCCCAGGCCATTCCTGTCTCCATTTTCATTATTTGCACTTCCAGAAAAGCCTTACTATGGCCCCTCTGGGGTTTCAGAACAGTAGGCAGTGCCCCCTCCTCAGAGGTCTACACCTCAACTCCCAGGGCCCCTCTCCCAAGCTTCTAGGCTCTGCTAACCCCACCTCTTCCCTCTGCCCACCCAGCTCAGGAGGTGACACTGCTCCCCGCAGTTACTGCCTATGCTGCCTCAGTCTTTCCAGTCATCCCACACCTGTTTAATTAACATCCTACACAAAATTCTCACTATTGAGATGCCCAGCATCTGTTTTTTGCCTGGATCCTGATTTGTGTAGTCCTTGGTACCAGGAGTGGTCTCAAAATACAGACCAGGATGGTTTGGAACTGGTTTGGTCTTGTCTTTCCCTGAGCACAGAGCTGAGCTCCTTCCAGTGGGAAATGAGTGCTAGGGATTGGTGGCATTGTGGTGGCCTCATATACAGGTGACAGAATTCCTACAGTGCCAGCATCAACAACAGGGCAGTGCCCCTTCCTCAGAGGTCTGGATCACTGTTCTATGGGGCTCTTTCTTTAGCTTCTGACACCCCCAATCTCTGTCCACCACTCCGTGTCTCAACAAGGCTGCCTTCTTACTCTTCCATTTCTCCAACACCTGATGAACCAATTCCATGTATTAAAATTCTCCACTGAAAAGACAAATGCATTTTCTGTTTTCTTGAATGGGCCTTGACTGAAAATACTTCCCAAGTAGCCTTCTCTCTTCCTCTTTACTCCTCGCTCTAACCTGTCCTGAGCATGACATCCACAGATGGACTTCATAAAACAGTGCTTTCATCCCGTCAAACCCTCACACAACCCGCCTTGGGTGCCTTGCTGCCCGTGTCTCTTTATAGCAGCCCTAACTTCCAACTCACTCAGCCCCAGCTTCCCAACTCACTCTCTGGCAATCCCTTATACAAAACCTGGGCTCCATATACTCCTGTGAGTTCAGTCCCTAAAAATTACTCAGGGCCACCTCCTTCCAGGCCTACCTAGGCCAAGTTCACATTCGGCCTATTCTCTACCAGGTATAGCTCAGGCAATGTCCTTCCAACCTAATGGGTATAATGAACGCAACCTGGGTGATAGACATGCTTACAACCCTGATTCAAGTATTACGAAAGCAATCCATGTAACCAAAACCATGTGTACACATGTAATATTTTGCAATAATAATAAAAAAATCAGTCTCCTTCCTGCGTGGCCTCTGAAGGTCATCCCTTCCCCGTCCACCTTTATCTGTGTGGCTAATGCACACCATCGCTGGCAATGTGAGATTTGATATCAAACCAACCCTCCAGGGAGTGCTATTATCATCCCCACATTTAATAAGAGAGGGTATATCACAGCCCCCAAGTGCACAGACACGGGAGTGACTCCAGTTCTGTCACTTACTAGCTATGCGATTATAAATCAATTACTTAATCTCTCTGTGCCTCAGTTGCTATGTCTGCAAAACAGGATAATAACAGCACCTACTTCACGGAATTGTTATGAGGATTTAATGAGTTAACACACACAGTACCTAGCAAATAGCAACTACTTTTAAAGTATTTTTTAAGTAAATAAAATATAGAGAAACATCCAGTGTTGTTTTCTTTCTCTGTCTAAGCCAGAACAAGTAACAGCTGTCTGTGCCTTGAGGTATGTTCCCCTTATCTGGCACACAGAGGGCATTAGTCTGCGCCTGCTGCATCGTACTTTGTGTGCACATCTGAACACTTCGTTGGCTGTAAGCACTGGGCAGACTCATCTTTGTATTCCCATTACACCTTGTATGGTGACTCACACATAGTAGGTGCTTACTATGTGCTAAATGAATAAACGTTTGAACTAAATATCAGGTTTCTCTGTGACCAGTTGTAAGAGAAAAACCAGTCAGGGTACTTCAGTTTAACCAGTGGGGTGCATGTGGTGGGGTTGGTGTGGAGAAAGAGAATTTGACAAAGGGGGCTGATTCAGTGCTTTGGCTGAGGTCTTTTGGTGCCTAGGAAGGTTCAGAAGGAAATGCCCTGGTGGCCTTGAAAGGAGGCTGCAGACTGAGGGGCAGGATGGAGTTCAGGAGCCCTTATTCAGGCCATGGTTGCAATCAGGAGAAAAAAGTACCCAGAGGACAATGGACAGAGAAGGGCAAAAAGGAGCACGGCATGAAGACAGTACAGCCTGGGATAAGAACAAAGCCCTGGAAATCTGATCCCCTGGGTCAGGACCCAGGGTCTGGATCATACAGCTCTGCTGTGTCCAGCTGTGTGACCCAGGGCAAGTGTCTTCACCTCTCTGGGCCTAGTTGCCTCATCTGTAAATGAGGATGACAATAATACCAACTCCAGAGGGCTGTTGTGAGGACGATTCAGCAAGGGGACCTGTACTGAGGGTCTGGCACAGTGCTGACACACAGAAAGTGCTTGTTAGTTCCACTATGGAAGTTGAATCAAAAAAGAATTAGGAGAAAGAACAGTCAGAGAGAGAGAGAGAGAGAAAAGCCCATTTGTAAAGAATCTAACTTTAGAAGATAAAAATGTTCCCACCTTGTCTGTGAGGAAACCGAAGCTCAAAAAAGCGCTTTGTCCAAGATGACACAGCCAGTAAGAGGAACAGGCAGAATTATTTTTGTTACACAATACTGCCTCCCCTGGTGCTCTGGAAACTAGTGACTCTCTTGAGAATCATTAATTTCTTTTGCTCCAGGATGATTTAGGTACTATTGTCAGTCATCTTTCTGTGTGACCCTTTTATTTTCAAATTAGAAGTCACTAAAAATGTTAACAATTTATTTTCAGTCTGGAAGAGAGGAATTAAAAAAAAAAAAAAGGAATCTCTTTTACTGTACACATTTCTCACTATTTCTTTCCTGAGCTGGTCAGGGAAGCCTGGAAAGGTCACAGGTTTCAACAGCAACACAAGTTAATAGAGTTTTGGAGTTGGGCAGATCTGGAGGTTAAAATCCCATGTATGATCTTTATTAGGGGTTGACCCTGGCCAACACCTCTCATCATTTCAGTAAGATCAGAACAAGAACAGATCTTCCTACAAAGATAGGAAATGTGCTATAGTGAGACGATGAAATACATGTGCCTAGCATATAGCAAGGACTCAGTAAAATACATGTCTTGTAGTCATACGTCTATAATCCAAAGTATTGTTTTTCTAAATGTGCAGACTGATACAAGGGGAACACTACAAATGTGTATGTGGTATATTCATTCATTCTACAAATATTTGCTAAGTACCTGCTATGTTTCAGGTGTTGTTCTGGGTGCTTGGGCTATATCATTCAACAAAACAAGGATTCCTAGCTTTGGTGAATTGAACGTTTACATCCTCCTGACTCTGGGCTAGTGCAGTAGTTAACTTTGGGTCTTAAACACAACATACGGGTGGCTTTTGCAAACTCTTGTCACTCTCTCCTGTGTTATCAGAGGGGATGGTGTGTGTGTGAGAATATCCCATAGTAAAGACTACCAAAGTCCTTGATGCTTATTTCGCTGAAGCACATACGGTTTGCTTAAGTTGATTTTTTTTTAACGAGTCTGCTCCTCTAAGTTTTTTTAACGAGTTATTTTTTAACAAATCAGCTCAACTGGTGAAGGTGGTCTCAGAGTATGACAGGGAGCAGGGGAAATCAGCTGGAGCTACAAATGTGCTGTGGAAGATAATTGTTCCAGCCTAATGTAATTTACTCTATCAGTAATTGCAGCAACTCGCCTTTGGGAACCAGAAAGGGAAAGAGGGTAGACAATTTACGCGAACAAAAGCTCTCGATAAATTACGAAGGCTCTGGACTCAGGAGACCACTGTTATTCAAGCGCAAGTTTTCAGACTCACCTGCCAGGATGCATTTGGCTGCCAGCTTCACCATGGTAACCAACACTACCACGGACCAGAGAGGGCAAGAGCGGCTGCTACAGGCGTTGGTGGGTGGGCTTCGGGGCCCTGGGCCGGCCTGGGCCGGGAAAGTGGGAAGGGCTGATTTCAAGGGCCTGTGCCCGGGGTCGGATAGGGACGGGGACAGAGCAGGCCTGGCCCTCCTGGGCTGGGCTGAGGGCGAGTATCGGAACTGGGGGTGGGAGGAACGAGAAGGCTCCAGGCGGCTCGGTACAAGGTCCCAGACGGCAGGCCGGTAAGGTGCACGCGAAGGGACGCGGCTTGCGTTCCCAGCCCAGCCGGGGGTCTGGAGGACACAATCCAGTACCCACTGCGTCCCAAGCACCGCGCCAAACGCTCTTGCCAAGCAACCTTCGCCCACCGGCCCCGCCTCCTCGTCCTCGCTGATCCTCGATTGGCTGCCGCCAAAAGCTCCCACCCCCGAAGGCTCTCGGAGATCCAGTGGGAGGAGGGGGCGGGGATAATGGCTTTATTTTGCGATACAATTCGTAGGAAGATCTGCTCCTCAAGTTCATTCCACTTGACGAATGGTTGTAAGTGATGTTAATTACTTCCATCCCAGACTCCCGCTCCACCAGGAGTGTGGGGGTAGGGGGTGTGTCCGGAAAAAGAAGAAGCGCTAACATCAAGCTGAGAGTTGATAAAAGAAGCTTTCTGACTGGCCAGAGCCTGGCTTGGCCCATCCTCTTGATTCGCCACACCCTCTGCCCTTCTGGAAGTGGGCTCGCGCTGGGTCTGGCTGGTCCGGCTCGCGGTTGTCTGGCGCCTGCGCAGTGGCTCGCAGTTGGGTACGCCGAGCTCTCCGCTGGTTTGGCTCCACAGACAAGTTCTTGCCGCTGCCCCAGATCCCAGGTTCCAGGGAGCGCGGCTAGGTACACCGCACCGAAAAATCCAGTCCTTGTCCCGTATCCCGTAGGGAAATCTCATTTTAAAAGTTCAAGGACGGTATGGGCTTTAAATCTAAAATATGAAAATGTTTAAAGTGATACCTATTAACAAAAAGTAAAACAGTAAACTTTAATGAGGCTGGGCAGTTGGACTCAGGAATCTGAAGTTATATATTCCTCTTAGTCCATGTGCTCTCTTGCAAAATGGAGAATGCATCACATACTACACTGCTCATCACACGTGGAAGCTCATTAAATATCAGTTGACATGGAGCAGGGGTGGGCTTGTCCCTCCTGCTTGTGGTCAGATGGTCAGAGACATAAATCCCTGCCATCTTCTGGGCAAGGTGTGAGCAAGTCATCTCATCCCTGAGTCTCTAAAGATGTGCCTAGTAAAAGCCACTTTGTGGGCTGATTATTGGGATTGAAAGAAAGAGCATCTAAGTGCCTGGGACATAGGTGCTCAGCAAGTGATTATGGAATGGATGAGTGAGAGGACGCTTTCTGGACAGATAAGGTTATCATCACCATCAAAGGTTGGCCAAATGCACTCACTCTCACCAAGCCCCTGGGATCTTTGATGGCTGATGCTGAAAGGGAAGAGCATCCCTTTGGACGCTAAGGATTTGCGTGCCCTTCAGACACCTGGACCATTCTGCCCTCTCTCAGCTGCTCTGTGTCATCCTGTGGCCACCAGCCTTGTGCAGGAGAATGAACACACACACACACACACACACTTTTTCTCTACAAATGACTATAATGGTTTTAGCCCTCAACTTGGAGCAAAACAATGCAAGTTGTCTAGAATTTTTTCTTTCCTTGGGATTGATTCCTGGTATTATGGTAAAGGTCTGGCTCTGTTTCATTCCGCTTAACTGCTTTTTTCCTTTGGTAGCATCACATAAGTCTGTCTCAAACTCCCCGGGTCTGGGTGAGCCGGAAGCTTCTGTCTGCCTCCCTCTTGCTGGCCCTCCTCCAAGTGATCTCCTTAATCCCTTAAAAGTCCCCTTGAGCGAACCACCTTCCCAAGGCAGCTCCACATAGCTCAGATGCTGAGATACACCTGGGGAAGCCTCCAAAGCCTGAGTTCCCTCATCTGTGGGTGGGGGCGGAGGGGAATGGATCATAATAGCATCTCCCTCACAGTATAATTCTGTGTACCACACTCCCATTCTCCCTTCTGTTACTACGAGTATGGGTGATTTTAGCACCATCATAAGAGCATTTTGGAACTTTCCACAGAGAGGGTAAAACACCTGTATGGTGAATTCTATCCCCTGCCCCAAGGGCCTTCTATATATTCTCAATGACTAAAAGACAGCTGAATGAATGACTGAATGTCACTGGGTTTAAGATGGTCAGAGAATTTTAGAACCATGAGGGCTCCTGGAGATTCTAGTCTAACCCCCTTCTGAGCAGCTGTAACAGGCTCAGCTGGCTTATTGGAGCACATACCACATGCTGGCCTTGTTCTAGGTGATTTTAGGTATGAATTAATTTAATATTCACATTTTTATTTTATATTCACAGTAACCCTTGTAAGGCTCATATCATCTTCATTTGGGGGGAACTAAGGCCCAAAGGAGGTTAACTCAAGTGCTCAAGGTCTCATAGCTAGTGAGTAGCAGAGTTGGGATCTGAACTCCCTCTCATTCTTCCTGTCATCCTAGAGCGTAAATGCTTTCTGAGCTCCTTGAAATAATAACACACTGAGCTTTATATACCAGGTGTGTGCTAAGCACTTCATATCCTCTGTCTTATTTTATTCCACAAATCTGAGAAGTGGAAACTATCGTTACTTCAAGGAAAAGAAACTCAAGTCCAGGGAGAGAGGCCAAGGTCATACAACAAGTCAGCTAGATCCAGTACCAACCCAGAACTGATCTTTCTTTCCACTACCTGGCATAGTCCCCCCAGTTTCATAATCAAGCTTTTCTTGAGTGCCTACCATGGGCCAAGCACTGTGTTGGTTGTTGGAGCCACAGAAGTGAAGATGACAGAGTCCCTGTCCTCACTGCTGGCCTGCCATGGCCATAGGGAATAGAAGCCCCAAGTTGTAGTTTCCTGACTTTTCCAGGGAAAAGGAATCTGGATTTTTGTGTGAAATCTCTTGACCTGTATGTTTTGGCAATGAACTTAAATTTAAAACATGGGATCTGCAGTAGGAACCTCTGTTGATGGTTCAGCCTGGGGACTGCCCATCTGTGACCTCTAGTTAAGACAGGAAGACAAAGGTGTAGACAGATCATTGTGACATGAGTGGAGACAGGAATCCCTGTACTGTAAAGAGCATTTCTAACCCTGGATAGATGAGTGGAGAGAGAATGGGGAAGATTATTCTGTAAGAAGAACCTCATAGGAATTTGTGAGATGGACAAAGGAGCAAGGCTGTGCTGGTTAGATAGGATAGCACCCACAAAGGCAGGGATTTACGGGAGTACATCAAATCAAACAGCCGAAAGGTACAAGAAAGTGAGGCAAGGCCTGGTGTAGGACCTTTCTTTGAGGAATTCATTCAATGGATATTGATTGAGTACTTACTAAGCGTAGAATGTAGAGGTGAACAGAACCATCTGGAGAGGCAGATGACCAGGCAGGCTCTAGGACTGTGTGTAGTAAGCATGAGCAGGAGAGGACCAAGTATGAGAAGAAAAAAATGTCCTCTACTTTGATCCCAGGACCAGCATGGCCTGGTGGGTATTTCAGAAATGCAAATTCCCAGGCCCCACCCCAGACTATCTTAACATGAGAGTGAAGCCCACAATCTGTGTTTTCATAAGCTCTCCTGATGATTGGGATGTATGCATGTGATGGGAACGACTGCTCTTAGGGAATTCTGGGAACTACCTTGGTCTACCGTATCTGGTCATTTGTTTCTCAAACTCCTCAGGCATATTCCTACTTCAGGGCCTTTGCATATTCTCTTCCCAGCCTGGAGGTACAGATTCTGTCACCATCTTCAGATCTCTGCTCAAATGTCATGTCCCTAGGGAACCCACTCAGGCATCCAATTGAAGAATTGCTCCCAATCTTTCGATCTCATCTCCTTGACTTGCTTTACTTTCTTCATAGCACTCACCATTATCCAAGACTATACAGTCTGCCCCTCTTTATCCATGGGGCTTTGGTTCCAGGACCTCCCTGGACACCAAATTCCATGGATGCTCAAATCCCCACATAAAACTATATAGTATTTGCATGTAACTTACACACATCCTCCTGTGTACTTTAAATCACCTCTAGAATACTTATAATACCCACTACAATGTAAATGCTATATACTTGTACTGTACGCTAAAATTTGTATTACCTTTTATTGTTATCTTACATTCTTCCCTCAAGTAAGCCTGTGGTTGGCTGAATCCATGATGCAGAACTTGTGATGTGGAATCCGTGGATATGGAGGGCTGGGTGTGTTCCATATTTATCTGTTTATTTGCATAGTATCTGCCTCCCCATCCCAGAAGGTAAACTTCATGAGAACAGGGACTGGCCTCTTTGTTACCCCAGCATATAGGACAGTGACCAGGATGCTGAGACACTCAGTTTGTACGTTTGAGTTAATCAATGAATCTTGTAGGGTTCACCCTTCTGGTCATTCATTCATTCACTTAATAAGGACCAATTCTTGAATACCAGTTCTTGCACAGGTAATGGGCTTATTTCTGGGAAGGGTTCAGCGACTATTCAGATGGGGGCAGCATCCCCCTCCCCCTGCCTGCACCCCAAGCTGGATCCATATACTATGTGGAGGAGGAGGGGTTAACAGTGCTGTTTCATGAAGCCAAGGTCTGCGCTGCTGTTGCGGCTGATTACAGGGGCTTTGGATGAAAGGGGAATGGAGGGGCAGCCATTGACAAGTTGTTTCCAGAAACTGTTCAGTTATCCTGGGGTTGAATGTCTCCCGACATTCCTCATGAGCTGCATGTGGGAGAGCTGTGGCTCCTTGCCAGGGACAGCCGCAATATTCCACGCATGGCACTGCGGCTGACTGTGTCCACTGCAGGGCCCCAGTCCCTCTGCCATCGCACCTGACAGCCAGGGGCTTCTCTCTCTGCCTGGGCCCCATCAGAGCCCCATCCCTTCAAGGTATAGTAGTGGGATTGTCGGCTGTGAAACAATCCCTTTGAATAAACAGGAGGTGTTGGGGAAATTCGTAGGAAAAAGGTCTCTGGAGAGATATTCTGCACGAGTCTGCAAGAAGAATGTCTTTCATACGTTAAAGCAGATTTGCTCGAATGCCCTCATGTCAGAGATCAATGCCAAAAAGAGGGCTAGGAAATTTGTAGAAATTTTATGTATGTGTCATGGTTTCTCCACCTCAGCACTACTGACATTTGGGGGGCTGTGGGGGCTTTCCTGAGCACTGTAGGATGTTTGGTGGCTTCTCTGTCCTCTACCCACTAGCTGCCAGAATCTCCTCCCTCCTTGAGACAACCTGAACTGTCTCCAGACATTGCCCAATGTCCCTTTGGGGGGCGGG